ATGTCAATATGTATTTTGAATCGTCACCAAGCCTGTTGGAGTATGTCTTTGTCAAGTTTCAAATTCAAGATCACTTATCGACTAGGAAAATAACAAGGTTTGTTAGTTGCTCTCTCTAGACGATCTTACCTTACACCAAACAAAAGAGATGCTACTTTCAATCAACAATGAACAATTCTCTTCAAGCCAAAGCATCTTCATCTTTGAGCAATGAAATCAACATTAACTATTGATTCAACTTTCATTAAGCAAGTTCAGCCAAGTATGTCTTCTGATCCTCTTATTGGTGATATTAAGTGAAATCCTTCAAATTCTCATGATACTTCCAAGTTTGAATTCAAGAAGAATCTACTATATTTTGAGGGACGCCTATATGTTCAAGAAGGTGAAGCTCAATTACGTATTTTTCAAGCTCATCATCCCTTTGTAACAGCAGGATATTTTGGGTACAATAAAACTTTGGAACTAATATCCAGGGACTTTTGGTGGCCCCAAATGTAGAAAGCAGTCAAAGTTTTTATACAATCTTATGATATTTGCTCAAGATCAAAAACTCCTTGTCATCGACCTTACGAACTTCTTCAACTATTACCTATTCCAGAACAACCACGATCTTCTGTTTCTATGGATTTCATCATAGATCTTCCAATCTTAAGTTCTTATGACTCTATATTCATGATAATAGATCATTTTACCAAGATGGCACATTTTGTACCACGTACAAAATCCATCACAAGTGAAGAAACAACTAAGCTCTTTCTTGACAATATCTATCACTATCATGGATTATTCAAGGATATTATATCAGATATAGGAACTCAATTTGTATCAAGATTTTAGTGCAGTCTTTTCAAGATTCTAAAAGTAGATATAGAACTATCTTTGGCATTCCATCCTCAAACTGATGGACAAACAGAGCGTGTTAATCAAGTTTTGCAGTAGTATTTAAGATGTACCATTAACAACCAACAAGATGATTGGAAAACTCTTTTGCCACTGGCAGAGTTTGCTTACAATAACACGATACATTCTTCTACAAAACAAACACCTTTCTTTACCAATTATGATTATCGTCCACAACTTGATATTTTTGATTTATCAAAAGTTGATAATCCTGCTGCAAAAGATTTGGCAATTTATTTGTCAGAGCTACATGCAATAATGAAGGCATAGTTAAAAGAAGCTCAAGAACAATAAAAGGTCAATGCGGATGTCTATCGAAAAGAACAACCACCATTCCACATAGGTGATGAGGTATGGTTACTTCATCGCAATATCAAGACCACTCGTCCTTGTGACAAGTTGGACTATCGAAGGCTGGGACCATTTTCTATTTCTGCACAAATCAATCCAGTTGCATATCGTTTACATCTACCGGAGTCAATGAAAATCCATCCAGTATTCCACGTGTCTCTTCTTGAACGATACAAGACAGTGGACATACCAAGAAGAAGACAAGATCCACCTCTTCATATAGAAGTAGACAATAATAAAGAGTTTGAAGTGGAAGAAGTCTTAGATTTAAGGCACTGCCAAAATAAATTCGAATATCTTGTCCATTGGCGTGGATATGATATTAGTGAATGCACATGGGAGCCAGTAAAGAATCTTGCAAATGCAGTAAAGGCGGTGGAGGCTTTTCATTGATGATATCCATCAAAATCAAGATAAAAACCTTCCTTATAAAAGAAACAAGATCTAGGCAAGATAACATTCTACTTTCAATTCTTGTTTGTAGCTTTTTTGTAGATTTGACACTGAGGAGATGGAGAACCAACAACCAGCAGATTCGACTCAAGAACCTTCAATTGCTGACTTGTCGAATGAGACATTACGATTGTCACAACCTTTTAGATGATGCAATCAAGATGAAGATCTTCAAGAATGTCATGTTCTTCCTCAAATAGATGGCAAGATACAACGCGTTTTGTATCACGACCTTGGAAGGGACTCCCGATGTTTGGTGATTTTACTAGAGGTAGGAACAACTCCTAACAGTGTTCCAAATATTTTATTCGAAAAAAGTTATGAAGGCCTCAACAATGATCAAATAATTAGGTGGTCTTCCGGCCCTGGTATGAAACTCTATCAATGGTTGAGAGCCTTATCAATCATCTTTGAAAAGAACAAAGATCAGAGTATGTGGCGAATACAATTCGTCGCATCATAGATTTCCTCAACATATGATGACCGCTCTTTGTAGAACTCATGCCTAGAAGGGGAGGTAATGTCATGGACATACACATGTAAGCTAGTATTTATATGTATAAATAGGTAGAAATAAGTAAAAGTAGGTAAAAGTAAGTTTATCTATAATATTTGCTATGAAAGCTTCCTAGAAGCTTAATAGATGCTGCTTTGACTTTATAAGTGTCTTTAATTGGTTTTTTGGATTAAAAACGTAATCAACAAGTTGGCCATGTGCCACACATGATGTTAGCTTGAAGACCAAGCTAACTATGTGGCCCACACATAGAAAAACTTGCCTTGTAAGTCAAGGCATGTATCCTACAAAGTCAACACATATTGGAGGTCCTGTAGAACATTGCCACATAGGCCCTAGTTAGATAGTATATATAGAGACAAGAGTGAAGCCTTCTTCACTCTTGTCAATTCTTTTTTTGCTTCCAATCTAGTTTCAAGGGTCTTTAGTTTTCTTGGCTTTTGGCAATAGCCATTCGAGTTTCTTTCTTAATATACATATCAAGTTATTTCTATTCTGTCATCTTTTTTTGAGAGAAGTCTCACTTGTTTATTTGTTTTTATTATGTTCTTGTCTTTGACACATTAAGTAGGATTATAATAATGTTTAGATACATATATAACTTCTATTAGACATTATGTCTTTAACTAATATGTAGATGGTTAACATTGGATTATGACTAATTAACAACTTGTACTCACTATAAGTTTGTGATACCACCATAGTTATAAATTGCTTAATAAGACACTTATTCCTAAATCAAATGGACCTTGGTGGTGAGCTATTGTTAGTGTATTTGCACTAGAAAGTCTTTATCCATAGACTATAGACTTATACTATAAGAACTCAAAGTCAAGGTTTACATGATGTAGTTAAGTCTCTTGAATCTACCTTGATTAGGTGGTGATCTTATTTTTTATTTGCATCATCAAACTTCTATGTTAGCAATATACTTCCTTACATTTTTTCATAAAAAACATATTTTTTTGGTAAAAAATATTAAATTTTATTTAAAATAGATTATTATTTATCAAATATTTTTAAAAGATTTAGTTGATTTAAAGAATTTTTTTAATAAAGAATGTGGCTTAGAATATAATCAATATAAAAGAAATCTTTAGCATTAATAGTGTTACCTAGAACAACAATTTACACACATTGTTTTATATAAACTATAAAGAAAAACCTAAAAGATACTATAAAATTTCTATAAGAATATAAATCTTTTTAAATTTGTTTATATATATATATATAGATATATATAAATAAAAGTTTTGTACAAATCTTTAATCTACATGTACATAGAAATTACAGATTTTTTTATTTATGACAAGTCAAAAAAGCTCTGTAGTTGTTATATGCAAGTGGATTATAGATGAAAATGTTACATAGCATATGATATCTTATAAGAATTTTTTTGTTACTTATAAATCCGTTTTGTTAACAAACATGTTTATTGAAGCTAATAGAATGGATGGTGCCATTAGAACAATCCTATTATTCTTATAAAAGATTTGAAAAAAAATAAATCCAATCAAATCAAATTTTATGATATCATAGTTATATTTAAGATAAGATTTATAATCAAAATTATTACATTTTCTTAATAATATACTTTAAATATGAAAAATAAAATTTATTGGAATTTAATCACATCAACTTCAATATCAATTTTTTTTAAGGTTAAATTAATAAATTTTAAAATTATAAAATAATTAAATAAAGTGATTATTAATAGTATATTTTAGTTTTTAAAAAATCAATGAAATGAATTGATTGTGTCATGGAATTCAACAAAAATTAATAAGAGTAGTAATAATCATTATCATAAATAAACTATTGATATAAATGATGTACAATTTTTCCTTCTTTATGCAATTTTAAAATTGCAATAACTATTTTAGATATGCAAGAAAAGACAAAATGTGCAAATCAATGAGCTTTGATTTGAGCTCCTTGGTAATGTTGTAAAGACAATATATATATATATATATATATATCTTTTTCTTGAAAAAAGTTAACATTTCAAAAAAAATACAATAACTTGAAATATCAAAAATTGAGTAAATACAATAAAACCTTATAAAATGCACACTCTGACAATAGTTGTTTGTAACATAAATAAATAAACTTGATAGTTTAATCAGAGTAGGAATCTTACACATAAACAACATTGACTTTGAGTTGTTGGACGCAAATCTCAATGAAGACTTGGTCTACGATCCCGTCAGCACCAAAGCAAGTGGGAAAAAGAAAACTATATTGTACAGGAAGTTAGATGAAGATTATTGATTGAAAGATTCCCTTGCGGTCGAGTAGCGAGAGCTTAATCTCATTGGTGGCAGTGCCAGATGCAACACAAGGCACGAACAAATCGAGGAACATAACTTGGAAGCCACTCCTCTTGGCTGTGTAGAAGGAATCAGGCAGAGAAGTACAGAAAAAGTAGAAGGGAAGGGATAGTGAAACCAAAGTATTTATAACCTGTAAGGTGTTCATAGCTCCTGATACTCTCTCCTGTCCTGTTTAAGGCCAAGTTCAAGTGTCATTCACTTCAGACAAAAGGTTAAGACCAAGCAAACTTAAAGACAGTAAAGCTAACGAAAGACTTGATTTTGATGTAGGCACAGGAATGGCTCCAAAGTTGAGTTAGCTTTGTTAAAAAAAAAATGGATAAGTTAACTTTCTGTGATAGCAATAGATTTTTACATTCTGGTGGCGATGGCTTTTATTCAAAAATAGCTGGAACTAGGATTCAAGCATGTATCATGCAGTCCAACGACAACATCCAGTTAAGGAATTTTAAGCCATGTGATCAGGTCTCAGTCCCAAACAAACTAAAATGAGGGAGCTCAATAGTAATAAGGTATTACAGTTTTCACAAGAATCTACATGGTACGATGGTCGTTATGAGCAGCAAACGTCTTTTCCTGAGTCTTTCTGTTGAAGAAAGACCACCCAAAGGAATCCAGCGTTCAATTGATAGTGGAAGCTCATTGGGTCTATGGCATCAATATAGGAAAAGTATAACTTCAAATCATGTGCAGATGCAACATTCTTTGGTTGAACTGCAACGACGACTACTACCATCACCACGGCAACTCAATAGCTGCATATATACAACTGGATAACTTGGGTGCCGCTCACAAAGAAATCAGATGCTGACGCAGATGTACAATCTATACTCAATAAGTGTATTCGAGAACCGCTTTTCTCGCCGAGGTTGATTTCAATCCAGTGAAATAACCTAGTGGAACGTTCATCGAACTGAAGGATAACTCCACCAGCAGCCATAAGATAATGCAAAAAGGGGCAGCTGCCTGCTTTTCCAACCAGAACATACAACACAGGTCAGAGAAGATTGTTATGCAAGACATTATAGACTGCTCATAACCGAACAAGTATTGCGGGTTCATGCATCTTCGTATGCTACGATTGGAGAAACTTAACGGAAAAAAACCACGAACAAAGGACAAACTGGAACCAAAGCCTCCATGCACAGGAACTACACTAGATCCGGTCACAAGCCGACTGCAAGACAACTACAACGCTGCTGGGTTAGGTGACTCTGCTGCTTTAACCTCTACCCACATATTTGCAACTCAAGAACTTACTATAACAGCAGCGTCAGAGTGAATAACCTAACTCTAGTTGGAAAAAAGTTCACTATGAAAGAAGCACATAGTTGAGACACATAGAAGAACTTACACATCAAAAATGAATTACTGACGGGTTGCGCACTGCAAAATGTGGGGTAGCGGAGAGATCAAGTTCCAATCTGATTCGTTTGGGAACCTCCATTGCTCCGCTTCAAACTGATCCGAAGCTGCAGTACATACCGGGTCACAAAGTATAAGCAGACATCACCATTAAATCTGCAAGACCCAACCAAAAAATCTAATCGTCGGATCAAAACGCTTCCCAGTGAGGCTCTAAAGTTGTGGAAGCATCTTCTTGACTTAATTCGAGCTTGAGAATATGATTCACATGCATTTGGAAGGAGAATGCCGCAGCTACAGCGAAACCCAAAAACAATTCCTCACCGTTAAGTATATTCGATACAAAGTCATTGCTGGTAGCCATAGCCTCCGGCGGATACATCTCCAAGTTCCAAAGGTCCTCATCTGTACTTGACAAGCCAAATACTATTAAACAACGACCGATGACATTAGCTAGACGCAAATCATGATGGTAACTAGCATAACGGGTTTGTGACACCCAAAAATGAAATATTGTGGCAGTTTACTTGAGAAAACTTTGGTCAAAGAAACAAATCCAATCACAACTCACTTCAATTGCTCACCTTCAGTGACCAGGACTGAGGCGATGAAAATGTCGGTCAAGGCAGAGGAAGTACTAGGCTCTTCCGTCCTCTCATCAAATCCGTTACGCCCAACATGAGAGGTGGCTCGCGTACTCTGCAGACTGTTCTCCAAGTCAAATCCATGACCTGCAATGTATGCAGTAAAAAAATTCAGAACGATTTCATGTGAAGCTGCTGTATCCGAGTCACATCAAGGTAGTGCTCAAATTCCTACATTACCCAGAACTGCGATGTCAGCGCAACTCATTGAGATACCTCGATCAAGGAAACAAATCCAATCATAGTTCACTCAAATTGCTTACCTTCAGAGGGCGGCGGGACGAAAGAGTCGGCGAAGGCTGAGGAAGTACTGGGATCTTCCATCTTCTTATCATGTGCGTTCCACGGAACATAAGGTATCTCCCACGTACTCTGTAGTTTGTTGTCAAAATCAAATCCAAAACTTGCAATGTATTTCGCTTCGCTGGATGGGGGTATTTCAGAACTCATCATAAAGTTACACTCCACTTCCATTTCCCTCCAATCATGATAGTTCGCATCATCATTCTCTGGAGGAGGTTGGTTTGCCGTGTCGGCTAACTGATCCACTGGAGCTGCAGGAGCACCGTGTGCTTCATTCAAGGATTCCAAAAATTCCGCTCTCTGGTGGAGATATGCAGGGCTCGCAAGCACAGCTTTGACCTGATTTATAAAATCAAATCTATGGGGTCTAAAAGCTAAACTTTTGGCAATATACTCGACGTACTCCAAGCACATCTCTCTGCTACTAAGCACTTCAGGCTGACCGTATCTGCCCATACAGTGAAGAGGTGGAAAGTTCCAATTAGCATCTCTAAAATGAAAAGGGTAGCCCCCAGTGTAGTAGAAAACAGCATCTGCAGTGCACTGTGCCAATTGATACGATTTTATTCTCCCAATCCATATTTTGGCAGGTGGGTACTTGTCATCCCATAATTTAGGACGAACATTTACGGTATGCGATAATAAATTGCGAGCTAAAGAAACTCCACCACCCTTCGCTATCGCACTGTTGAAACACACAAAAAAATGAACGAGGTTATCACAGATGCTCCATCCATAACATAGATCTAGTCTTGTGTAGAACAGGACAACGACCGTGTTAGACTGTGACACACAAGTGAAAAAACTAAAGGGGATGCTTAGTTGGGATTGCTCCACAATCTCAAAAAACAATCCGTCCACACGTAGGAGATTGCACGGCTTGTGAAAAGTAAACAAAAGAGAAGAATAGAAACCCATTGTCACAAATAAAGCCCAAACCATTGCTGTCCCACTACTAATATCCTTTCAACCCAACAAAGTGAGAAAACAATTATGACAAAGCGGAAAGAGAAACTCCGCCCAAAATTAAACAACAGCTCGGGCACAATCCCACAAGGTAAAGACCACGTACGATATCGATGGCGCCGCCACCTCTAAATCATTCTCGATCGACCTGTTCGGTGTTCGGTCCGGCATTTTGAAAGCCGTTAGTGAAAATCACCACAGCCGGACAACAATCGGGTCACGTCTAACGCCTGAGTAACAAAATCAGAACTTGACACTACTCCCGCATTCCCACACGCCACAGACCCTGCGCCAAATTACGACCCAGCAGTAGCTAAAATTCCTGGGGAATCTCGTCGGCGACTCCTCCCATCGATGCTCTATGAAACCCACAATTCAACATATTTCGTGATTCCTTGACAACACCATGGATACTCCCAAAGTCAAGCTGCTCCTGCATCATTACATTCTCGACACGATTACGGCACACTGCAAATCTCAGAGTCAACAACAGCAGCACTTCATAACGCAGAACAAGCTCACAGGCAAAGCTCGATTCACTCGGCTCTGCCAAATCGATACAAACGAGAAAGGGGATAAGGTCGTACGACGGCACGTAAATAATAGTGCTATGGTGGCTAGGGAGCCTGCTTTCCTCTGTAGAGTCCTAATTAAGGTTGACGTGGGCCATATCCGTGTTTAAATGGATTTGGACTGAGTCAAAGTAGGCGGCGGAAGTTATTTTGTTTTTTCCTCTCTGACAGGACCCCACCGACCTACAGCCTGCTCACTCACCACCGCTCCTTTTTCGTTGGTTGGAAGTGGCGAACGTGGACGGACGGACGGACGGACGGAGGCGCTACCAATATGGCCCACCAGGATTCTCGAGGTGGAGTTGTTTGGGAATTCTAACCTTTTCTTTAAAAGAAATGTTTTATTTTAACTTATATTTTAAATGAGCTTTACTTAGGCTACAAGCAAAGCTGGGACTTGTTCCTCATGTAAGGTGAAGGATCTTTTTTCTTGTCATTTCCTTCGTCCCCCTCTCTAAATGCTAAATTGTGTTTTATCAAGAGAACAAGGAAATTATGTAAATATGAAAAGAAAAAAATGTATCTGTATCTGTTATTAAGTTGCTTTTGTAGTCAAATTATCTTGACATTTGTGCACATATTCAAAGAATGTACACCACTTGGTAGTACAACACATGCTAGGCTTTGTATTTAAAAGCTCATGGTTAAATTCTAATCAACATCAAATGTATGGAATAAAATGACAGTGATGTGATATTGACTATGTTTTAAAAAACTTGTAAAAGACTTTTGAAGTTTTTATATTGCTAAAACTTTTTTCTTTTTAAAAAAAGACCATGTAGCATTCCATTATTCCTACTACTCCATTATTCCATTAAATGAAATTATTATTTTTTTAAATCATTACATTCCTCTATTATTGAAATAAATATTAATAATTCAAATCTACTTTTTACTTACAAGTAAAGGTATTTTATACAAAAAAATTATTTGTATAAAAAATAAAAATAAAAATAACATTGCAATTAGTAATACAAATATTTGTACTTACTTTTGTCACGGCCATAATCATGTAAGCTAATAATTACATATAGAAATAGATAAGAGTAAGTTAATTCTATAATATTTAATATAGAAGCTTCCTAGAAACTTCCTAGATGCTGCTTTGACTTCATAGGTGTCTTTAATTGACTTTTTGGATTAGAAACGTGGCTAACAAGTTGGCCATGTGCCACACATGTTGTTAGCTTGAAGATCAAGCTAACTATGTGGCCCACACGTAGAAAAACTTGCCTTGTAAGTCAAGGCATGTGTCCTACAAAGTCAACACATATTGGAGGTCTTATAGAACGTCGCCACGTAGCCCCTAGTTAGATAGTATATATAGAGACAAGAGTAAAGCCTTCTTCACTCTTGTCAACTCCTTTCTTGCTCGTAGTCTAAGTTCAAGAGTCTTTAGTTTCTTGTCTTGTGGCAATAGCCATTCCAGTTTCCTTTTAATATACATACTTGTTTATATTTTGACTTATTATATCGAGATAGCCTTTTTGTATATATTTTCCCTCATCGAGTCTTTGTCCTTGACAGATTGACAAGAGTACACTTACAATATCAGAGCTTTGTTTTTCTTGAGTAAGAGTGGATTACCCCTTTTTCTTGACAAGACATAAGCGTATTAGAAGTTTGCGGATTATCCACTTCTAAACTGATATTGTTCTTAGTATCTTCTTTGTTATCAAGTCTTTCTTTTCTTTTGTCTTGAGCAGTATCAAACAAATTTTTCTTCTTAGTGTCATTATGGCAGAGCTTGTTGAAATGAAGAGTGCAATGGCACAAATGCGAGAGCAAATGAGGGAGTTAATGCTTGCAATGCATCAACTCAATTCACCAACACAGGAAAGAACAAGAATAGCAGAAAGTGGGGATATAGAGATGATCGGAGCTGCTTCAACATCTACAACAAATCACGTTCCTTCTCCAATTGTACAACACCCTGTAAGCACTAGAGAACCAAGATTTGCCTTACCCGAGAAATTTGATGGTATGAGATCAAAGTTTCGAGGGTTCATCAATCAAGTACAATTGGCAATTGAACTTCAACCGCAAAGCTATCCAACTCTAAGATCACAAGTCAGGTTTATTGGCAATCTACTTTCTGATTCTGCATTATCGTGGTTTTCGTCTTTTTTTGAACAACGAAATCCAATATTGGATAATTTAGAAGCTTTTCTGGCGGAGTTTCGATCTATGTATGGTGAACACGATGCAACTCATGTTGCAACAAATAAGATCCGAATTTTACCACAAGGAAATCGCTCTGTAACAGTGTATGCTTCACAATTTTGACAACTTGCAATTGACATCAAGTGGGATGATGCTGCACTCATCAGTCAATTTTTTTATGGATTGCAATACGAAGTAAAGAAATTGATGCTCAACTTACCTGATCCTCAAACTTTGAGTCAAGCAATCGATTTTGCGATAAAATGTGATAATCTACTTTTTGAATTTCGATCCAAAAATCATTCACGGGAACCTCAACGTTATTACTCAATGGCAACATCAACATCTTTGCCAAACATACATTTGGAAGTAGAAGACATGCAAATTGATGCGGTACGTTTTAAACCCCTAACTGAGTAAGAAAAGATTCGTCGTCGTCAAGAAGGATTATGTTTATATTGCGGAGAACCTAAGCACACTGCTCAACATTGTCTAAAGAAAGGACGCAACTATAAAATGAGGGGTACGACGGTCAAAGAAGACAACATGTCGGGAAACGGATTTGGCCAGCTACAATAGGGACCATGCAGCTGGAACCTTGTACAATTCCTAATGAAGGTCATATCTTCTCCTCAGAACCCTCTCTTTGTTTTATAATAGACTTATATTTAGGACCTAAGAATTACAAAGCCTCTTCTTTATTAGATTCGGGAGCCTCAGCATGTTTTTTAGATGAACAATTTGTTAAAAGTCGTAAAATACCTTTTATACAGAAACCTAAACTAGTACATGTAGAAGTCATAGATGGTCGTCCCTTATCTTCTGGAGATGTCACTCATGAAACTCATCCTATAAAAGTAACAATAGACGGTCATGATAGCTACATAGCTTTTAACATAATTAAATCCCCATCCAATCCAGTTATTTTAGGTTTATCCTGGCTAGAAAAATATAACCCTCGAATAGATTGGAATTCGCATAAACTTGACTTTTCCTAGAGTGTTATTAATAGTTATACCAACCAAGTAAAAAATTATAAGTCTAGTATAGTAAAACCCGTACTGATAGGTGCAAAAGCATTTATACACGCAGCAAAAGAAGGATCAACTTTTGCTATTTATGCTGCACCTATTTCTGAAAACGTAAAGACTTCAAGTGGCATTCCAAGTCAATATCAGGAGTATCAAGACGTTTTTGAGAAAAAGAATGCAGATATTCTTCCTGAGCATCGCCCATATGATTGTTCAATCGACCTCAAGGAAGGAACTCAGCCACCATTTGGACCAATTTATAGTTTATCGCAAGATGAGTTGGCTGAACTCAAGACATATATTGACGAGAATTTAGCGAAGAATTTCATACGCCATTCAAAATCTCCAGCAAGAGCTCCAATTCTATTCGTAAAGAAAAAAGATGGATCTTTACGAATGTGTGTTGACTATCGAGGACTCAACAAGATCACAATCAAGAACAAGTATCCATTACCTTTGATATCAGGACTACTTGACCAGTTGAATCAAGCTAAGATCTGTACAAAAATAGATCTAAGAGGAGCATATAATCTAGTACGGATCAAAGAAGGAGATGAATGGAAGACTGCATTTCGAACCACGTATGGACATTTCGAATATAATATCATGCCTTTTAGACTCACGAATGTACCAGCTGCTTTTCAACATCTCATGAATGATGTATTTCGTGAATTCTTAGACAATTTTATCGTCTGCTATCTAGACGATATTCTGATCTATTCTAAGAACGTCGAAGAACATGAAATATATGTTCGTCAAGTATTACAAAAACTTAGAGATGCAAGATTGTACGCCAAGATAGAAAAGTGTGTATTTCACACTACTCAAGTTGACTTTTTAGGATACATCATTTCAAATGGTGGTCTCATGATGGATTCTAAGAAAGTCCAAACAATCATGGATTAGAAGATTCAAAGGACAGTAAGAGATGTCCAATGTTTCTTGGGATTTGCCAATTACTATTGATCTTCATCAAAGATTTCTCACGAGTTGCAGCTCCACTTACACGCTTGACTAGTAAAGATAAATTCTAATGGAATCAAGAAGCGGAAGCAGCATTTGAAGCCTTGAAGACATCGTTTGTCTCTGCACCAATCTTATATCGTGTTGACTTTTCCAGGGCATTTTTTATGGAAACAGATGCATCAGATTTTGCCTTGGGTGCAGTTTTATCACAAATGGGAACAGATGACAAACTTCATCCGATAGCTTTTCATTCAAGAAAATTCTCAGCAGCCGAGATCAATTATGAGATCCACGATAAAGAACTTCTTGCGATCGTGGATTCCTTTCAAGAATGGCGTCATTATCTAGAAGGCGCTTCTAGTCCAGTCACTGTGTATACAGATCACAAGAACCTCGAGTATTTCATGTCAGCACGCGTATTGAATCGTCGTCAAGCTCGTTGGAATATGTCTTTGTCAAGATTCGAGTTCATTATTACTTATCGGCTAGGAAAACAACAAGGTTTGTCTGATGCCCTATCTAGACGTTCTTATTTTGCACCAAAAGAAGGAGATGCAGCTTTTGAGCAACAAAGAACGGTCCTCTTGAAACCGAAGCAATTTCATCTCCGAGCAATGAAATCAACATTGACTGTTGATTCAACTTTTCTCAAGCAAATCCAGTCTCGTATGTCCTCAGACCCTCTTGTTCATGATATCGAGAATAATTCTTTCAAGTCTCATGATCCTTCTAAGTTCGAGTTCAAGAATAATCTATTATATTTTGAAGGACGCCTATATGTTCCAGAAGGAGAAGCACGTTTACGTGTTCTTCAAGCATGTCATAACTTTCAAGCAGCAGGGCACTTTAGATATAATAAGACTT